TTTTGAAAATATTTTTTAAAAACAAACTTAAAATTTTTTGGGGAGTGTGCTGGGGTGGGGGGGCTTGTAGGGGTGGTCAGGGATATGAGTGAAAAATGAAATTTTAAAGTTGAAAACATTTTTCTTAAATTTGTGAAAAATGAGTTGATTTAGACAATATTTTCCAAAATTATTTAATCCAACCAAATATGAGAAAAATATTTTTCGAAAAATATTTTAATTCATACCAAACCACCCCAAATATAATAAGGGTATTCCTTTGTTTTCTACAAGTTTTATCCGATAGGTTGCAGATATAGAAGCACATATTCAAAAAAAAATTCTTAATTTGCTAGAAGAGATGATGATATTATTCGGAAAAATAAACCTCATATAGTACCAACATTTTACATTGCCAATAAAACTGAATCTCTAGCATTCGAAACAGAATAAAAATTTCCAAGAAATCCATCAATCTTTCAAAGTTTAACTCCTTCACAAGCATTAGTAATACAGATCACACTATTATAAGGAACTAAAGAGGATGGTTAACTGATCAATACGTTCCCTTAGCATGAAATCAGCTGAAGAATCTGCAAGAATTTAGCGAACTCATCAAGTAAATCTGAATGATCCTTGAAAAGTATAGCAATCTACACATAAATGAAAAATAATAATCAATATTCATAAATTAAAACATGAAGATCACCTAATATAAATTGTGTATCCAAATTGAAAGATGTTTTATTACCTTATGGTAGACATCATATTTGTTCTCGTGCTCCCTGTAGTACATCTTCAAAATGTTCAAAAATGATTCATACACATGGTTGTCCTGTCGGAAAAGTTCCTGCACAAAGCGATGACCCCAACAAGTAAGTTAACACTCATATTTTATCCATCCATCTGTCTGTTAAACATAATATCTTGTTAGATTATTTATGAAATTAGAAGAAAAGAAGTCTTAGAGAATAACCTTTACTTTCTCTACAAAACTGGCAGCTTCTTCAAACTTAATTCCCTGTGGACGAGCCTCATTTTCTTGTTTTATTTGATAAGTTGAAGGATCCTCAGTTTCATGTTTTACTTGATAAGTTGAAGGAGCTTCAGTTTCTTGTTTTACTTGATAAGTTGAAGGAGCCTCAGTTTTACACTTCTTCTCTTCTTCCTTTACTAACTTGGAATCATTCCACTTAGTCATTACACCTACAAGAAATCCAACTGCAAAGCAGTGCTATTCAAATTAGAATCTCTCTCTCTCTCTCTCTCTCTCTCACACACACACACACACACACATATATATATATATGTATTGTGTGTGTGATAGAATTCGTTAAAGACTTACCAGCTCGTTCATAACAATATATAAATACATTGAAACGCTCCATAAGACAAGGATGTTTTCCAAGTACTTGAGCAACCTGAAACGAGTGGTTAAATCTATGATGCTTAAACAACAAACAGATCGGCTTGTACATCATTTAAAAGATATTAGTACCACAAAATCCTGTAGAAACATTAGGCCTAGCCTATAATTTGCATGAACATCAACCAAACCATAGATAGCAGAAATTATAAGCAAAGATTACTGTCATATAGGAGCAACAAAGATAAGTTTAGATGCATGATACACGTACCAAAGAATGTAACTGCTCCCTTGTAATTATTTCTCTGCTGTAATCATGAAGACATTTCAAGAATGTCTGATAATCAACTGGACTTCCTAGTCTATCCTTTACCTCTTCACAGAATGTGAACCCTTTTGTATATGTATCTGCTAAGATCAAACAAATACTATTAAAAAGCTTACTAACCAAACTCAGCAACTCTATGCTAAAAACAGATGCATACATCAAGAACATAACAAAAATGGAGTCAAACATACTGAATGTTTAGCAACATAGTAATAGAATATTAATCATGACGAATTCTGATATATCTTGTTGGAGATTGTTTTTTTGAAATTTCAATTGTTGTCTTGTATAGTAATGTAAAGTACTTGTAACAAAATTCTAATAAAAAATTATTCAAGACTTTCTCAGGCTCATTACACCGGCAAGTATTTCAATTGCCAAGAAGTAACCAATTTTAATGGCACAACAATTTTACAACCATGAAATTTTAACTTACCAACTCGATCATAAAGATCCAGAAATTCATTGAAACCCTCCATAAGATCAAGGTATTTTCCAAGTATTTCAGCAACCTGAAATTGATAGCGTGCTTCAAATTAATGATGCTTTAACTAATACATCGACTTGTATATCATTTAAAAGACATTAGAACCACAAAATCCTATAAAACAGGATTCAATACCTCTGTTTCTCCCTTTTCTTAGCCAAAACTCATAAAAGAGCCCAACCAAACCCATATAGCAAATACTACAAACAACGATAAATGTCACTTTGGAACAAAAAGACTTGATTAATAGCATGATAGACGTACCAAACTTTGTAATTTGTTCCTTGCGATCGTTTCTGTGCTGTAAATATGGAGACATGTTAAGAATTTTAGATAATCAGCTGGACTTTGTAGTCTTTCCTTTACCCTTTCACAGAAAATGAACCCTTTGCTACACGAAGCTGACAAGATCAACAAAATCATATTAAAAAGCATACTAACCAAACTCAGCAACTCTATGCTAAAATTAAATGCATACACCAAGAACTTTATCAAAAAACGAAGTGAGATATATTGAATGATGATTTAATACATATTTACTAATAGATCAGTGTCATCACAAACCATATAACTAATAATGGAAGATTCTAATGCAACACATCAAATACAAATATTCAGCTAACCATGAACTCACATTTCAGGGCATCTTCAAACTCTCCAAAAGAATTCATTTTACCAGTATGCTGTTGCTTGCTTAGATCCTCTTTGTAGTTGGTATCTGGCAAGAACCTAGTAAACTCATCTAACAAATCTGGATGGCCATTGAAAAGTATGGCAACCTAAACATAGATATGACAAAAAGTAACAAAAAATTAAAACATAAACATCATCTATTGTATACCAATTTAAAAAAGAAATTATTACCTCTCGGTACACCTCATCGATTCCCTTCTGCTTTTTCCTATACACGTTCAAGATGTCTAGGAAGTATCTGTAGACTTGATCAGCATTTTGGAATCGTGTCTGCAGAATATGATAGACCAAATAAATTAGGACTAAAGTATTTTAAAGAAGAAAAAACAGACCTTTATTATTTAAACTTGAAATGTAACCTTTATTTTGTTCACAAAGTTGACAGCTTCTCCAAATTCAACTCTAGGCTTATCTTCTTGATTGGGAGTTATCGTATATCCCTCGGGCAAGAAAGTGTTGAATCCCATGATCAACCTAGGGTATCCTTTGAACAAATCTTTCACTCTTTCTATGACAGTAACAGTATCAATTCTGTAAAGAAAATGAAACAATTCACTGATAAAACAACAAATATGAGATGACGACACTAAGGTAAATAGTAGTAACATACCTTTGAGCCTTAAAATGTTTCATAATATCAAGGAACATTTCATACTTCACTTTGCCTTGAAACGTGTCTTTAACTTCCTTCAAATAAGACAAAGCCTCCTCTGTTCTAAGATTTGAGTTACAAGGTCTAAGAAAAGTTAGCCCGCTACCAGCAATGCGGCTGCCCAAACCATTTTCAACAACTTGTGATGAACGACGCCTACTTCATACAGCAAAAAATTCATATACATCATAATTTTATACCATTAATAGTCACTACTACCAAAAATGATATCATCTATATACTGAAAAATCAGCCCAATTTTTTTAAATTTTTTATTTTTAACCTAAATCAAAAAACTAATTATTAAACTAGAATTCAATAAATCAAAATAATTGAGAAAGTGAATAAAGCTTACGACTCTCTACGAGAATAATTGATTTGCCGCCTAAACCTCTCTTTACCACCAGATACATCTTCTCTCAATCGGGCCATGCTGCAAAAATAGTACATCAACAAAAAGTTGTCCTAGTAAATACAAATTTTATTAAGAATTTAAAAAAAAACAATTCAACCATAAAAATTACTCAAACAAAGGGGGAAAAAATTTAAAAATGACTGAACCCTAGTATTTTTTTCTATACCTTCTCTACTTGGAGAAAAAAATGTTGTGTATGTAATAACGAGACTACACATATATATAGTACTAATTCTTGTAACGTGTGATGTTGGTCAAACTTTAAGGATAATTTAGTCTTTCTCTAATATTTTTAGTCATTAACTAAAGTTATGACTATTTATTGACTGGATTCAATTTGTTGAGTTAAAAATAATTATAAAGTAAAAGCAGTGAATCCATTTTTTATTAATTATTTATTATATTTCTTAAAATATCATGTATTTCTTTTACTTTTTTTTCATAACTATGCAACCATTTATAGTTTTAGTATTTTTATTGCACAATATCACTTATTTCTTTTTCACCAAAAATGATTAGAAAGTCAAAGTAGTGTAGTTCATATCTTATTGGTTATTAATTGTTTATTCTTAAAATATCTTGTATTTCTTTTTTTTTCACCATATCTATGCAACTCATTTGTAGTTTTACTAATTTTATTGGAAAATATTATTTATTTCTTTTTCACCAAAAATGATTAGATAATCAAAGTAGTGTAATCCATTTATTATTTATTATTTATTATTAATTGCTTTTCTTAAAATATAATGTTGTATTTCTTTTTTTCACCATATCTATGCAACTCATTTGTAGTTTTACTATTTTTATTGGAGAATATCATTTATTTCTTTTTCGCCAAAAATGATTAGATAATCAAAATAGTGTAATCTATTTATTATTTATTATTAATTGCTTTTCTTAAAATATAATGTTGTATTTCTTTTTTTCACCATGTATATGCAACTCATTTGTAGTTCTACTATTTTTATTGGAAAATATCACTTATTTCTTTTCCACCAAAAATGATTACAAAGTCAAAGTAGTGTAATCCATATATTGTTTGTTATGAGTAATTGTTTTTCTTAAAATATCACGTGTTTCTTTTTTTTTCACCATATCTATGCAATTCCTTTGTAGTTTTACTATTTTTATTGGAAAATATCACTTATTTCTTTTCCACCAAAAATGATTAGATAGTCAAAGTAGTGTAATTCATATCTTATTAATGATAATTTTTTTTAAAAAAAATAATGATTAGTAAGATATGGATTGCACTTTTTTTAAACCAAAAAAGTCTAATCCATACCTTATTAATCATTTATTGTTTTTCTTAAAATATCAAACCATAAAAAGTCAATACTATTTTACAAAATAGTATATATATATACTATTTTGTAAAATATGAGCAAATTTTAGTTTTAGCAAACATAAAAATCATATTTGTATGATATAGTTATAATTTGTATAATTGAATTTCATTGAGCAAACTTTATGTTTGCTACAACTATTTCGGTATATCTCGATTTACTTATACATTAAAATCTTTATTTGTATATTTCGATATACAAACTAAAACATATTAATTGTATATAAGTAAAACTACTACAAATATACAACACATGTGTATACATGATGAGTATATATTTGTATATTTACAAATGGGTACTGTAATTAATTTTTATTCAAAACATAGTATATTGAATGGATCTATTTGTATATTTGTTATATAAATGAGTCCTGTAATTAATTTTTATACAACATATATGTATATTGAATGAGTCTATTTGTATATTTCGATATATAAATGAGATGACAAAAAACGTGAAACGTTTTGCTGCTGATTACAAATTAAAGAAATTATTACTATTGTATTTAATTTGAATTAATAGTTTGTTATTTCATAATTTTCTCAACATTAATTATTAATTATTTTTCTTTATTAGGTACTTTTTCTATTTCATATTAACAGAATATTTGAGAATTTTTTATTGTTCAAAGTAATTGAATCGTTGAAAATTTAAGATGAATATTTAATTTTTTTTCTATAGCCCTTTTCTTTCACTTTTGCGTTGACGTGATGTAATTGGTTGAATTTCATACAAGTACGTATAACACAAAATCTACAAAATCAGCTTTAAGAGGTGAAAATGTATAGTTCATTTTAGTTATTTTTAATTAATTAATATGTGTTTTAATTTATTAATATAATAATAAAAATTAAATTAATTTGATATAAATAATTTTTTAAAAAAAGTTTATATGATTTTAAATGTCCGATGCCATTCTTTTCCAAGATTCTCTCACCCAAAACATAAAAATTACTAACATTATGAACATAAACATAAGTTGATTAAATAGAAACATAGTGAATTAAAATATTTATGTACATTAGCAGATTAAATATATATTGACAAAAAAAAATACAACATTTATGGTAAAGAACTTTTTGACTATTTTTATTTTGTTTTTTATCATTAAATTAATTTTAAATTCATATAGTAACAGAACGCTTGAATTCAAGAAATATTTTTTAAAAAATAATTTATCGCTCCATCACAATTGTAATTGCAATCTTTGATCATTTGAACATGCCTTACAGCAGTTCTTCTTTTGTTTTTTCAGTTGTGTTTGAAGCACAACTAAATTTAATACACAAAATTTATTTAAAATAAGAGAAGATGCCCAAGTACCCTTTCAACTTATGCCCGAAATCTCAGAGACACACTTATACTACTAAGGTCCTATTACCTCTTGAACTTATTGTATATGTAATTTTCTACCCCTTTTTAGCCTACGTGGCACTAGTTCAAAAAAAAAGTCAATCATCATTGGGCCCACAAAATAGTGCCACGTAAGCTAAAAAGTGGTAAAAAATTATTAATAAAATAAGTTCAGGGGTAATAGGACCTTAGTATAGTATAAGTGTGTCTCTGAAATTTCGAACATAGATTAAGGGAGTACTTGGACATTATCCCTTAAAATAATAATACTTCATATCTAGAACTCGAATTGATTGATTTAGTGAAGTGAATAGATATAATATCTTATCCTAAAGGCATCCATCTCATAGGATTATGGAGATGTTCATGGCCATTCAAAAGAAAGAGCGCCACCAAATCTCTTTCCCACTTCTCCAATGGATGCTCTCTTTGTCAATTCATCTCTCTCCCGACTCAAACTCAAATTCTCTTCTCAATTTCCTACATTCTCTCCCCTGCCCCATCACTCTTATCTCCCACTTAAAAAACTTAATTTACCACTTGTATTTGCCACGCTTCAGAACCAACACCAACAACAATCAGCAGCCGAAGAAGTAGCACAAGAAGAATTTGAAGATTACGATGCCGACGAAACGTATGGAGAAGTTAACAAAATCATTGGGAGTCGAGCAATTGAAGGTGGGAAAGGAATGGAGTATTTGATTGAGTGGAAAGATGAACATGCCCCTACCTGGGTTCCCTCTAATTTCATCGCACAAGATGTTGTCGCTGAGTATGAAACCCCTTGGTGGAACGCTGCGAAAAAGTCAGATGAATCGGCTCTTCGGGAACTTATTGAAGCCGAGGACGACAGAGATGTGGATGCTGTTGATGACGATGGACGAACGGCTTTGCTCTTTGTTTCGGGACTCGGGTCGGAGCCTTGCGTCAAGCTGCTCGCTGAAGCCGGCGCCGACGTCAATTACCGCGACAGGAGCGGCGGTTTGACGGCTCTGCATATGGCTGCAGGATATGTGAAGCCTGGAGTCGCTAAGCTGTTAATTGAGCTCGGCGCAGACCCCGAGGTGCAAGATTACAGAGGGCAGACGCCGCTGAGCTTAGCGAGGATGGTCTTGAATCAAACACCTAAAGGAAACCCAATGCAATTCGCGAGGAGATTGGGATTAGAGAATGTGATTAGGGTATTGGAGGATGCAATTTTTGAGTATGCACAAGTGGAGGAGATATTGGAGAAGAGAGGAAAAGGTGAAAATGTTGAGTATTTAGTGAAATGGAAGGATGGGGAGGATAATGAATGGGTTAAAGCATGGCTGATATCTGAGGATTTGGTGAGAGATTTTGAGGCTGGATTGGAATATGCAGAGGCAGAGTGCATCTTGGAGAAGAGAGAGGGTGACAACGGGAAAGGCGAGTACTTGGTTAAATGGACTGATATTGAGGAGGCTACTTGGGAACCAGAAGAAAATGTTGACCCCCTTCTGATAGAAGATTTTGAAAAAGGTCAACAGAAAGTAGTAAGTTGAATTCATGGTTTCTCTTTTGGCTTGTATTTTTCTTTTTCTGTGGTAATATAATGCTCTTTTGTTTTATAAACTATAGTTGTGGTAATGTATGTAATTCTGAGGTTGTCTAACAGGTTGAGGATAATTTCCTTTTAGTGATCCAAATCTGGAAAATTGAAGATCACCCTTTAGCATATCTTAATTCTTAAATGATACTAACCAATCAAATATTACGTTCTATTGGTGATTGTCCGAATCCTCTGTAAAGGTGGATGTTTTTAACAATTGAATTGATATCTTTGTTGAATGAAGTGAAAACCCTCTGAAGGGTCATGAAGAAGATTCTAGGAGATAGTTTTAAGTGAAAAGGTGGTGGTAGTTGTGAATTACTTTTGCAAAATGTGCCACTGCGGATTCATCCATGTCTGAAGCCGTAGTGGTGTTAGAATTCTGACTTCTGAGTACGCAGTCTGAAGCTGAGAGTTTTAGCAGACTTGTATTGTTGAGTTAGGTTTTGATGTCTGGCTGGCTGATAGCTTTTACCAATCTAATATTAGTACCTGAAGCTATCCCTATTTGAGGGAGTACTCCTATTCGAGGTTGTATGGATGATGTTTTCTGTTGTTTTGTATTGACATCCAATCCATGGGAGGCACTGAAATCGTGAAAATCCTGATTTTCAATCTCTCAAGATTCAGGTAATAACATTATGTGAGAATCTATTCCCCTTGATCCTAGAACTTTGTTGTCTGCTTCGTTCTCTACATTTTCCCTTCCTGTTTTTAGTGTAACTTGTTTCAATGATGACAATTGTTCTTACTTGATTAGTGTTTAGGTTGTTAATATGTTTCACTATGCTGGACTTCTAGTTTCTTCTGGCCTTCTGGGGTCTTTTAGTATTAAGGTCATAAGATTTTACCTTTAATACTGATCGAACAATTTATCTATGAAGCTCTTCTCTTACAAGATGAAACACAAAGCTCAATTAAATGTATTGCTATTTGCTAACAATACCAAAATATCTATACATTAAAATGGGACAGAGATTTCCAAGCAGCCAACAAATCTCCCAAAGAGTTGTTTGGGAAAGAAAGTAGGAAAACAAGGAGAAAGAAGAGGCTGTTTAGCTTCAAGATTATTGGGGAATATCAACCCATGTCATTTGATGATGAGATTAACTGATGAAGGTGTTGTTAGAGTTCGGTGCTCTTTGAAGGCTAACAAGAGAGTGGTAAACTCCACTGGGTCCTTTAGCTAACAAAGAAGAGTGAGTCCCTTTCTCCACAATTTTGCCTTTGTCCAATACAGCAATTGTGTCACAATTCTGTATAGTACTTAGCCTGTGTGCCACCACCACACTTGTCCGCCCAACCATCACTCTCTCAAGTGCATCTTGCACTACTTTCTCCGACTGACTGTCCAATGCACTTGTTGCCTCGTCCAATAATAGCACCGCTGGATTTTTCAATATTGCACGTGCTATAGCAATTCGCTGTTTTTGTCCTCCTGACAACTGCAGTCCCCTGTCACCACACCAAGTTTCATATCCGTCTTTTAATGCTGAGATGAAATCATGTGCATTTGCTGCCTTTGCAGCCTCAATTATTTCTGATTCGTCCACTTCTTCTGATGCTCCATAGGCTATGTTTTGCCTTATGGTTCCTGCAAATAATGTTGGTTCTTGGCTTACAAGTGCAATGTGTTTCCTCAATGATCTCAAGTGGTATGATCTTACGTCCCGGCCATCTATTTTCACTTCCCCTCTTAAGGGATCATAGAATCTTTCTATCAGACCAATTATAGTGGACTTCCCTGATCCGCTTTGTCCTACCAATGCTGTTGACTTTCCTGCTTCGATTTTTATTGAGAACCCCTTGAAAATGATCACATTGGGCCTAGCAGGGTATGCAAAATCCACATCGCACAGCTCGACATTGCCTGTTATTTTCTTGGGCTTGTAACCATCTGAGTCCTCTGGCTCGATTAAAGAATATCGATCCAACACTGCAAAGACCGACCCAACAGCATCTGCACTCTTTGCGAGATCATTAGTCATGGTTCCAGCATCTGCAATGACACGCCCAGTGCTAACCAGAATCATGAATGTCTGGAAGAGGGCTTGAGCTCCTATGAGGCCTTCTGCCATGAGTTTGCCACCATACCAGAAATCAAGAGCCCAAGTACATGTCATGAGACTGTTCGAAGTGCCAAGTCCAATTCCAGCAAACCACGACTGACGTATACTTTCTCTTAGTGGGCCTTCTTGGGCTTTCTTGAGCATTTGGAGAATCCGGGACTGGGAGGAGAAGGCTGTTACTGTTCTGAGATTGGAAACTGCTTCAGCAGCCAACTTGCTGCTTTCTTCTTGGGCCTTGATGGACTTTTTAGACATGTTTTTTAATAGCACCCTCTTGAAATAGTAGCACACTATGATGAGAGGCTGGACCGCTATCATGACCCATGCAAGTCTCCACGCGATAACTAGGCCCATGGTGCAAGCTATAGTCACTGCAGAAACCGTTTGAATGAGTAATGCCATCCTGTCCCCAACCAATGATCTCACCTGCACATTTGTATAACCAGCAACTGTTATCACTAGATCTTACCTGATTCTATAAAAAATTCTTTACGTTGTTTGTGTATGAAAGTTAAACTCTAACAGTACTAGTGGACGTACCACATTGGCATCCTTAGCTAGTCTAGAGCAAACAGCACCGGTGGAATTTTCTTCCTTGTCGTACCACCCAATTTCAAAAGTAAGCATCTTGGACAACATCCTCTCCCGGATCCTTTTAGTCAATTTCTCTCCCATGGCTGCAAAGTTATAGTGCTGAAGTACATTGACAAAAAGTGAAAAGAATGCCAACCCCAGAAAACACAGAGCATATATCTTTGTCTTCTCCTTAATCTCATCATGACTTGGTAAGAAATAGACAGATATCATTGACCCCATTGCAAAAGCATACACTGGTTGAACCCCACCAAACAATATTGCTCCTATGCATCCCAAAGTTGCCTCCTTCCATTCTGGCAAATTCATTGCCAGCAGCCTTTTGAATGAAGGTACTGGAAAGACTTGTTCTGGAGTATTGGAAATTGTTGCATTTTGATCAAATCTACAGCTTTGCGCAGCTGAGTTAGCTGAACTCGACCTGCTCACAATTGATAGCCTTCTGCTGCTTGTATTTTGTACTTCATGGTCAGAGGTGAATCCAGAATTTAAATTTGATGGAGCAAAAACTGTGTTTCTATTTGTTGGTGCAATTGAGATTTCATCACTGGGATTTTCAGTTTGTTGGAGACGGACTAAGGAAGTGTATAGTCCATCTTCATCTTCTATTAGCTCATCGTGTGAGCCAATTTCCTTGACTTGGCCACTTTGAACCACAGCAATAAGGTCAGCATTGCGAATAGTGGAAAGGCGATGGGCTATGATGATTGTAGTGCGGCCAACAGCGGCCTTGTCCAGAGCTTCCTGCACCACTCGTTCAGATTCAGAGTCGAGTGCACTGGTTGCTTCGTCGAGGAGGAGTATTCTGGGTGACTTGATTATGGCTCTTGCTATAGCTATCCTCTGCTTCTGTCCCCCAGACATTTGAACACCTCTCTCTCCCACCTGTACGCATGCACGCAGAGAGTTAGATCTAAGATTTAATTATTTATGAGTTCAAAGTTCATAAATTTTTGTTTTGATATGGTAGTATAAACTTAGTTGAGTAAAGTTCTTTTTGCACTTCATTTGAGTTTAGAGATTCTACCCTTTGATAGTATCATGAATCATAGAAACGAAAGTATTAAACTAAAAACTAATTAGTAAGTAATTTTGTGATCTCCTGAATACTGATTTTCTTAAATCGAGGATTCAATGGAAGCAATCAGGTAAGGTAGGAATAAGGTCGTGTCCACTCCACTCTTCCTAGACCCTGTTTTATGGGACTATATTGGATATGTTACTGTCTTAGATGTCCCAAATAGAAATAATGGAATTTACTTAATTGTAGCATATTAAGCAATAATTTTCAACTGATTGAGAAAAAAAAGTCCTTTAACTAAAGAGAGACAAAACGTTTGCAGCACCATTATAAAAAAAAAAATTGGATTAGTTTAATTTGGTCAAAACCACTTGATGACATACTCCACAGCAGAATCCACTTGTTTGACAATGATAGCTAAGAAAATTCTCTGAACTGGGACATTTCATTTATAATCAATAATAAAGCATTAGTTAAGTGCCCTTTAAAATTCTTTGAACACTAAAGAATTAATCATTTAAACTGAATAATGGGAACAAAGCTATTCATTAACAGCGACTTGTTTATAGCCAAAGTGGAAATCAGCGTGATAACATTTTTAGCTAGACAAGAATACTATTCAATCGTGCTAGCGTGTCAAATACATAATATTTCATTTTCAATCTATACGTCTAGTTAAGTCAACGAATGAGTCATTAACCTAACTGGTTTGAATTTGAGCGGTCATTTATTCCATCACCGATTTTTGCAAGGATAAGGACAAACTAAATAAAGGTAAAGTATAAAAGGGAACACACAGATACCTGGGTATCATAACTCTGAGGCAACTGACAGATGAAGTTATGAGCATTAGAAGCTTTGGCAGCCTCAATTACTTGTTCCATAGATGCATCCTCCTTCCCAAAAAGTATATTTTCTTTAATTGTAGTTGCAAAAAGTGCAGGTTCTTGACTCACTAGACCCATTTGTGACCTTAGCCACTTGAGTTGCAGCTTATCAATAGCGATCCCATCGAGAAGAATTTCACCCCCAAGTGGGTCATAAAATCTCTGAAGTAGTGCTACTACAGTAGATTTTCCTGACCCACTTCCTCCCACTAATGCCACGGTTTTACCCGTTGGGACTTTTAAGCTAAAATCGTTTAAAATTATGCTTTCAGGTCTTGATGGGTACGCGAATTCAATATGTTTGAATTCCACTTCACCCATCACGTTATCCAATGTTTGGCCCTCCAAATTATCCGAATCTATTTTCGGTACCCTTTTTATCACTTGCACTACACGTTCACCAGCTGCACTTGCTTCAGAAAAATACTTGAGATTGGACAAACCGGAACCCAATGATCTGTTCAGCCAAAAAAAAAAATATAATAAAATAAATAAATCATGTTTTAAAAATTACTCAAAAATCTGATAAAAACATATGAAACAATACGACCATAA